TGATATGCTGCTGCTGGCTGGCGCCAGTGTCTGCCCTCAAGCAAACAACAAGCAACAACAACATCAGCTCCCGCTCTAAATCCAACTCCAAGCTTTAACTCCCAGCTTCAGCTTTAGTATCATGTGTCACCGCCAGCCATGGCGTAGCTGGCTAACCTTCAATCTCATGCTTAGCTTACTGGCGACTGCTGACTGCTGAATGTTGGCTGCTAAATGTTGACTGCTGACTGCTGACCGGCTATGACGTCAATGGCTTTGTTCTGACGCTCTACGTGCTGTATGCGCAAGCTGAGCGCCAGGTCATGTAATCACGACGGCCAAACCAGCGGTAGCGGTAAAGCTGAGCTATTGTACATACATATGTACATATGTATGTATGAATGTATGTACAAATGTATGAATATCTATGAATATGAGTGTATGTATAAATGAATGTTTAATGTATGAATGTGTGAATGTATGTATGTGCGTATGTATGCATGTACGAATGGATGAATGTATGAATGTAGGTATGAATGATGTATATATGAATGTATGTGTGTGCGTATGTATGAATTTATGTATGCATGTAAGTATGCATGTATGAATGGATGAATGTGTGTACATATGTATGCATGTATGTATGTATGTCTGTATGTATGTATATATGGGTGACGTACATACAGATGTATGTATTAATGTTTTAATATTAAAATTCTTGAATATGTGAATATATGTATGTATGTGTGATTGTATGTATACATATCTAGATGAATCTATATGAATGTGTAAGTCTATGACAATATGAGTGTTTGAATATGAATATGTATGTATTTATGCACATGCATGTCACAGTATATTAAAAATTGTGTATTTTATTTAGTTTTAAATTATTATTTTTAAATTGTTGAAAATCTCATTAGCATTCATAAATATGAAAAGGTGTTTACAATTGATCAGTCTTAAAAAATTCCTGTAATATTTATTTCAGCTGAAGTCGCAATGTTTACCAAGCGTGTTTGCGCATTTAAGTGTTGAGTAGTGTGTTCACATATAGTGTTAAACAATTTGCAATAATTTTTATTAAAAACAAACTTGAGTTTTGGATATGTTTGAGCATTGAAGTTTTGAGTTAATTTTCAGCTCATTATTAATTCCAAAAAAAAAAAAAAAAAAAAACAACGTTTAACAGTGTTGTTTAACAGGCATTGCAATTGCAATTATAGTTTCATAAATGAAATAGTGTCACAAAATATTTAGTTCATTTTCTGTACAAATTTCAGTGTTGCAAACGATGTTGTTTAACATATGTGAAATGGCGGGTTCATAGTTTCAATGAATAACAGTTACAATGCGTAAGCGAATTCTCTTGAAAATGCATTCGCACTGACATTATACAACACTGTTATGCAACACTGTTACACGTCCAGTAGCACGTTCATTTGTAAATGCCCCGAGGGCATAGGCATTTCATAATCGTGCATATTTGACGGGCATTATTCTAACTGGGCTAGGGTTGGGCGTGTGTTTTTTTTCTGCTTTTCTGTTTTTTTGTTTTCTGTTGGATTTGCAAGCGCATTGCATAATTTATTGCCGTTGCCTGGGCTTAAGCACTTAATTAGTGTTATTAAAAATGTTTGGCAAATGTGGAAGTCGTCGGCGATGTCGTTTTTTGTTGTCCCAGTCCAACTCGTCACCGTCAACATCATCATAATCATCATCACCATCGCCATCATCATTGTCATTTGCACATGCTTATTTAACAATTTGCGTTTCGTGCTGTTGGGCTCGAGCTTTTTGTGTTTGTGCATTGGAATTTGCCTGGTTGCCTGTTCGGATATTGGCAATTCGGATGCGCAGGCTTCATTAGCGTGCGGCCTATGCCGATGGTAAACAATCAGCTGAATTGTTGTTGTTGTTGCTGCTGCTGCTGCTGCTGGAAGTTGAATGAACGCAAACTCTGCAAATCACTCGCCAGCCACGAACGATACAAAACAATTAAGTGGTAATGACATTTGAGTAGCCTTAATGACTCCATTTGGCGGCGTTCAACCTGACTGATGTTTGGGCGTTTGACGAGTCTCTTAAGCAGTATCTCTCTTAACAGTCTCTTGCCACTAAGTGCTGCCACAAGCCGCTGCGAACGTGCGCTCAGCATGCCACTTTTTCACCTGCTTCCGCACCTCCACCTCCTCTGGCTTCGGCTTACCTGATATCGGCTTATCAATGCCCCATTGCAAAAGTGTGTCAGCCAGTCGGTTTAATCAGCGGACCGTCAATTAGGCGACCCCATTGAATGGCGGCGCTGACGTTGCGGGTGTATTCCATCTATTAATTCTAAGCACGCAACACGAACACAGACAGGCTTCTCTGTATTCATGAGTGTAGCTGAAAACTACAGTTGCGGGCAAAAGTCTGCAGACTGCAGCGGCATAAGGTCTTTTGACTAACTGCTGCTATATATCTAGATACCTATATCTAGATACCTATTCATATATTCACTGTGAGGTAGCTTTAAAAAAAGTTTCCAAATATTTATTTAAATATTTATAATCCAAGTCAAATCTATATAGACAAGCTAACTCTAGCTATACATCTGCCTATATATGCTGTTGTAGAGCTTTTAAAAATACATTATGTATAGTTATTACATATGTATATATTATTACATATTTAATGAGTCATTGTTAAGCAAGTCTTGCCTTTAGAATATATGCTAAATATCTGTGGTTTCTTGAAATAATATTTTAGATATATCCAAATTATTGAAATTATACAAAATTCAATTCTAAAATTCACTAAAATTTACAAATAATCTGAATTTACGTATTCATTATGTAAATATTTAAAAAGACTAATACCATCTATAGGTCTAAAATATTGTATCTAAATTATGCAAACTCAATTACGAGTCACTTAACTTCTTTGTCGTGCGTTGACTTCTGCCTGACACTGTACGGAAATTAGATTTGCATGTTGTGGCGCTGTTTGTGAGAATCGCATCCGAATTTGGACAACCTGAGCGACCGATGTGTGTGTGCGTGTTTTACTTTCCCAACGGTTTGAGCTGGCCAAAAAAGTCGTCCGGCCTTTGTCATATATGTGAATAAGATGTGTTTAAACACACTTAAATACACGCACACACACACACATGCACATAGATACATATACATATATTTATTTTGAGTCGGTTTACGTTTTGTTTGGGGCGCGGCAAAGTCGTGTTCTCACCGTAGCATTATTGCTGCCCAACCCATTTGGGAATTGCGTTTCAGACTTAAACTCTCCGCTGATGCACACCCGCCCAAATGGCGGTTTAATTTTAGCTTAAATACACTTGGCTACCAGCAGCAGCTCAAAGCGCTTGGCATGTAAATCCAATTATGTCCATAAACGTAAACCAGTTAAGCGTTTGCATTTAAATTGCACGAATATGAATTAGATATTAGATTAGATATAAGTAGCGCCTGGTAACTGTTGCTTAAGCTGTTTGCCTTATTCAGATTATAAATCAAGTAGACTATATGTATGGCTAGAATATCTGTCTACATATCTCTCTATAAAAGATTTATCATCTGTTTAATATTGACATCAGTATGGCTTGGAGCGGGTCTTACGTAATCAGATTCTAAGATTTTTCTTGTTTATTTATGTTTATATTGATTCGATAATTGAAACTCAAAACAAGCAAGAGCATTACAGTCGAGCTGTACCGACTGCAGTACACTCATTCATGATTACATCATTTATGATTTGCCACGCCCCCAATTGGTATAATTATTGGCAAATCAATGGAACAGGTCTGTAATAATTATAAAGCAATAGAAGAATAATTTTTTTCTGATTTGCTCGAGGCCCTACCATATCTTTTGGATCTTAGGTTGTCAACGCGAGTACACATACCACTCTGAAGTGCCGAAAATGTATTTTCTAATCTGATGAGGTATGATTCCCAGTGGACATCGAAGTAGTTTGTAGTCATACGGATATGAATGGACAGACAGTTTGATGGACATTGCAAACAACCCATATACCCATTTTACTTTCTTGCATGAGTATGAAGAGTTGTATTGCAGCCATTCACCGACCGTCCTGCAAGATTTCAAGGGGTATCGCCTGTTTCAGTCAGCTTAAGTGGGTTTCAAGGCTGAGAAGGAGGACTCCGTATAGGCAGAGACTGGAGAGCACTTTGTCATTTGGTTGTTAAAGTGTGTCAAGGCGATTACTGATTCCGAATAGAATTAAGAATAGAATGCGCAGAGATTGGGTTTGGCATACAAGGAGGATTGATAAGTGTAAGAAGCTTTGTATTGCCGTCATGTTCTATCCATAAGGAGCGAGATGATTGTGGAACAAGAGTTCCTAAATTTGTGTGAGATATTTGCTAAATTAGATTAGGCCTAGTATGCTTTCTCTGCATCAGCCATTCAGTTTGGTGGGGCTCTCTATGACTCCATATGACTTTTATTTCTGACCACTGTAGCATGAGTAAGATATTGGGCTGGATATACCTGAGTAAAGAACGGCCTAAATGAGCTCATACGACTCTTGAGATCAGCTTTCTTTTGCAACGCTTTTCCAACTTTGGTCTATATAAATGAGTGTGAACTATATCTAATGCAGCTGTGTCCATAATCGCTCTGCACTTTATGGCCATCAATGCGGAGTATGCATAATTAAGTATACGACGCGCTACGCGTTATTCGCTTGGCTTTGCATTGCATTGAGAAATGGGGTTTACACTTTTTTCTGTCTTTAATAATTGTTGAGGTTTGGGCGCTTGGCGATGATAAACTCGAGTGCGCCACGCACTAGTTCAGAATTACTCAAAACCTATTAAAATACATTTAATTACTTCGTATTGGGGACTCAGCCGCAAGCCATGCTGCTCCAGTTGAGTGCCGGCTCAGCCGAGTGTGGCCAAGTCAACATGAGAGCGGAGATCAAAACAGTTTTATAACCCAAACATTGCTGATTACAAAGAGTTGTACTTATGTAGACCGTATTTTGTGCCATTTCAGTTGAAGATTGAAACGGAAGATCAATTCGGAGCAAAGCAGCAGCAGCAGCAGCAGCAATCAAGTACTGAGGCCCCGCAGGAGTCGAACTGTAAGTAAACTGACACACACACACACATACGTATACATATGCATGCCACGAATGTGCTGGAGGTGTGGCACATCCGCAAGTTTGCAAGTCTTCAGACGCCACACAATGGCCAGCCCCACAATCATAACCAAAACAATAACAGTAGGAAAAGACGTTACTGAAAATGCAAACACACACACACACACACAGACACAGCCACACACGCTTCCATTGCGTTGCATTGCGAAATGAGTCGACGCCTATTCAGACCTCTGCCATTGTTGGCTGACACAGCAAAAAAATTAAACAAGTAGTCGACTGCAATTGCATAAAAGTTGCAAATATGCAGATTCTCACAGTTTCGGAAATAGCAATCCGACAATCAACACCCCGCGCCATCCGCTGTGAGCGAATAGCAAATGCCCTTTAAGAAGTGAAAGATGAATCGAGTCTCTGGCCGGACAAATAATAATATTACTGACCAAATCTCTTTTGCTGCCCAATACCAATATAAGAAGCACCGCCCTTAGATGCACTTGCCTCTTCATGGATAAGTTAATAGTTAATTGATTTATTATTTAACTTGCCAAACATTTTTACCTCGTAATTGTCAATTTGTATTATATGTATAAGCTTATATAAATTTGTATATTGTATGTAGACAGTATTTATAAGGATGTCTCAAATATTTCGGTTGAAAACGACTTACCTGTACTCGTCTCTAGTTGGCTAAGAATGTTAACATAGGCAAATGTCAGTTTCTTCTTCTGCTGCTTCATGTTAAGCTGCTTCATGTTACACTGGAGCTGTCAAACATTTTTTCCTGATTGTTGTGTGTGTGTGTTGACAGCTCTGACTGATTGCAGCTGAAAACTTATTTTGTAAAATTGAAAATTGATAAAAAGTGAAGCAAACATGTTGAACGCCGGCAAGGGCGCAGCGGAACCAAATGGGGCCAGCGACGACAAGGCTGGCAGCGCAGCCCAACAGAATATAACGGTAGATCGGGAATTTGGCAAAATTGACAAGAACGTGACAACATCTCGGCCTCCGCTGCTTGAGACTCCGCGCGGCCACGGCGAATCCCCAAAAATATTCGAGCCCAAGCCGATGTCGAAAGTCATGCAGGAGCAGTTGCAGCAGGAGCAGACTCAGGTGCAGACTCAGGAGCAGCCGAACGAACAGCCACAGGAGCAGCAGAAGGAACAGCCACAGGAGCAACAGAAGGAACAGCCACAGGAGCAGCTACAGGAGCAGCCGCAGCCGATGAAGCAGCAGGAGCAGGCGCAGATAGATGCATATGCAGAAATGCAGATGCATATGCAGAACCCAATGCAGGAACTGCCTAAGCAACAGACCAATCAACAGAATGAACAGCAGCAGCAGCAGCCGCAGCAGAATCAGCAGAATCAACAACAGCAACAGTCGCCGCCACAGCAGCAGCAGCAACAGTACCAGTCACACAATGTTAAGAGTGAAGCCAATGAACAGCGCCAGGTAAGCAGCAGCAGCATCTAATAGCGCCGGCCCATAACACACTGTCTCCTAATCCTCCCCCTCCAAGGGCCCCTTGCCGGGCACTCCGAACCAGTGGTGCACGCTCAGCAATCGAGTGCACAAGCGCGGCACCACAATCGAGATGATGTACACTGGGCCGGTGGTGCCCCAGCCAGCGGAGCCGCCGCTCGACTTGCGTGCCATACCGGGGGTGACGCACCTCACCATGAATCTGCCGGTGAGCCTACCGCCGGGCATTAAGCACAGCACGCCGGACATGCCGTCCCTGATAAATGCCATGGACTTCTTTAGGCGTCCAGAGAGCCAGCAGTCCGCTCGCGGCAGGGGACCCAGCACCTCCATTCAGGTCATACCAAAGGACAAGAATAATAACATCAACACACAGAAAATCGAGACCATTGAGGTGCTGCCGCTGGGCACCACGCGGGCAGCACCACTCCAGCGCAGCACCATGAACTCCTGCTTCCAAAGCTTCAGCTTGATGCACCTGGAAGTCGATGAGCGCAAGTCGGACGCGCCCGGCCGCGTGGTTTTGGATGCCGAAATATCGCCCACATATATGCTAACCACAGAGCAGCAGCTGCGCATCCAGGCCGCCATCATGCAGGAGGACGTACCGCTGACGGATGCCCTGATGCCCATCGTTAAAGATTTGTATAAGGAGCACGCTCGCTTGCAAAAGGCCGGAAATGGTCTGCTGTCGACGCCGGAGGCACCGCCCTGCGGCACCATGAGATTCCACTACGTCGAGCCGCCGATATACGGCTACCCCAAGGGAGTGTCCAGCCGTAAGCACCGCGGCCCCCAGGTGCCATGCGTCCCCCAGATGCCGTTCGTTTCCCAGATGCCGTTCGTCTCACAAGAGCAACGCGTCCCACAGGAGCAATTCGTCCCACAGGAGCAATTCGTCCCACAGGAGCAATGCGTCCCGCAGTTGCAGCGCTTCTCGCAGGTGCAGCGTGTTCCGGTAGTGCAGCGTATTCCGCTGATGCAGCGCGTCCCGCAGGTGCAGTGCGCTGCCCCGACTGTCGCCAGCAAGATACAACGATCCACTAGCAATGTCATCGTGGGCTCCACAATCATGGCTCTTGATAAGAACGGCAATTACAAGGCTATGGGCCTTGAGGATTGGGGTAAATTGAAGATACAGGGCGATCAGCCAACTAAAAATTAATTACGTAGTAGTCCGGCAAGAAGATGATCATCAAGGGAACAAGATACTCATATCCGTTCTATATAGTTCAATATTTTCTCGTTTCCCTATTTGTATTTGTTTCTGAGTTAAATTTAATAAAAATGTGAAACCCCAAATTCAAGCTGAAACGCACGAGCAAATAAAAGTGCTCCAGCCGGGAGTTTCTGTCTAGAACATACTCTGAACTTTTCATTATTTTTTTTTTTACTTTTCTCATACTAGATGTGATATTTAATTATATATGTATTTCCCGAGGCAAATTTTTGTACCTTAAGTCTTTTTTTTCGTATTCGATGTAAAGAAGGGATTTAAATATTACAAGATATACATGTGTGTAAATTAAAAGTTTACTTATTTCCTTTCAAACTACTCTTAAAAAACACAAGTCAATGATCGATTTTTATAGATAATGATGATTTATCGAAAAGGAAATTAACTCTTACTGCTGTAATATATAGAAATAATTATATTTAAGATATTAAGTATTCGCTTATTGACGATTACGGGTTCCTTGCGTTTACACGAATTGGCGCACGGGTGGAAAACAGTCGGACGGGCCGTGATTATATCGACTGAGAATAAATACATATATAGTAATATTGACATGTCATGTCACTCCCAGTCTTTAACATTTTCATTAAACCAATATTCCCATTTGCATTCCCATATTCAATGGCCTCTGAAGGGTATTGGAAGAGTTTCATGAGCTTTTTATTATTTAATTAATTTTAGTGAAAAGTGATAGGAAATAGACACCTTAACGGAATTCCTTATATATATTTTATTGAATACCATTTGGTTCCTTCAATTGAAGCGCCCGTTTCATCACTTCCCATTCAATTTCACTTTTGCAATTCGTCAATAACGAAAATGTCAACACAAAGCAAAAAAAGTGAAAGAAGTACAGAGAAGTACAACTCAGTGTCATTTGTTCGGCACCAAAAGTTTCGTTTTCTAATATTACCAAATACTGCGAATACAATGCCTTGGCCAACGGCACCGACAATTTGATTGGTCTCCACGGCCGGCGAATACTTGGCCAAAAGCAAACGCAAAGAAAGCCCAAGCTATGTCATTGCCAAATTCAGCTAACTGCTGAGCCAAAGCGGGCGTCTTGCTGTATTTATAGCTGCCACAGAAATAGAATTGACCAAAAATGGGAGACTTCGATGAGGTAGTTCAATATATCACAGCCCCGTCTCATCAACAATGTCGCTCTTTATAGCCGTTGAAATTGGGTTTTGCTTCTACTTTGACCAAAGCGAAGAGATGAAGCTACTTTATTTGAATGAAATATATGTATATTTGCATATCCTTGGCTGGGATGACAGCTATCAATATACGTCTATATTAACTTGTACATAACAGCTAAAGATTGTAAATAGAATATTGTAAATGTTTTATTATTGGTATATTGATATTAAAGGCATTATTAATGTTAGTTTTAGTTTTAGAGAGTTTAAGAAAAACTATGCTTAATATGTAAATATTCTTGAAATGAAGATCCGAACTGATTGATTTGTCTGAAATCCTTGTTTCACTTATCATGAGAATCTTAAAACGTATTCTATTTATTAATCTTTTTTATTCCCTGACTCTAATAGGAACACTTTTAGCATTCTTACTTTCCCACAACTTAACTGGAATCCCTTGAACACTCTCATAAATCATAATTTGGATTTACATGAGATAGCTACCGATTGTGAGACCTCAATAAACAAAATGATCCTTAAAACCCGTTATTTGATATGCAAGTCAAAATATTTTTGGTGTATTCCCAACACCATATTATCATATGACTACATATGTATATACTTAGATGTTTGTATAACTCTTCTCTTTCCTAGTATTGAAGAAAATAAAATACTAAGAAAAGTAAACTTAAGAGAAGAAGAACTTACAGGTAAAATAAGCAGTCATTTTGTAAGTTAGTTAAAACTTAAACTAACTTCCATTTGATCGGGAATTGCATTAAAGAGTTTCTCTAAAATCGAACAGTTTTATAGCGCTACAAAGCATTTGGATAGTCGTAACCCTATTGCTAATTCAGTTCATCAAAGCTGGTGATGTTCCTTTTGTTGGTCTGGCCTTTTTAGTCTTGCCCAAGTGAAATCCGTCAACATAAATTTCGCTTTGCTCTCAGGCCCGCGTTCCGAGGCCCGACACTTTCGATTTGCTTGCAGTAAAAGGGAGTTGTTTGTTATTTAAGTGAAATGTCAAGTCACATACCCACAAGAGCAGTACACCCACCCAGAGCTGCCGCCTAGCCACAAATGTAGAAATCTGGCTGGGAAATGAAAAACCAAGT